TTTCTGAAACAGTCCAAAAACTGTCTTTTATTAAAGGGCGTCCACATGTGTGCTCAAGTCAATACCGTAGAGTATTTTCATCAAATTTCCTGTAACGTTAAACGGGTGTCTCACGAACAGTATCTCCTATTATTTCTCGAATGTTATCCGAATATCAAGTAGCTCTCTTGGGTTACATTTATGTAAAGGAAAAGTAGTCTTTGTAGTCAGTTGATTAGTGGTTATAATCGAATGAGGCTCACAGCCAGAAATCGTTTTTGCGTTCGAAGTCATTTAAGGGAAAAAACGTTCGAAGGATATTTAAAAATATTTATTTTTTGTGTAAGTTTTAGGTTAATTTTGTACACTAATCTTCAATTTATAAATCATCGTTTTTTTTTATATCGGGATTTTGAATTTGTGCGTAAAAAGCACGTACAGTTTTGGTATATTCTTTAGTTACCATACACTTTTATACATCAAAATTCACAATGAAAAGTAAAAAAAATTTTTTAAATAAAGAATATCTAATTTTAAATTTCAAATTCCACGCCCTGTAGACTGTTCTAGAGTACCAGTCGACATGTTCTCATTAGATGACAATTCGTATTCGATGCCGGGCGGGTGTTTTCATTGTAGCGCTGAGCTGCCTTCATCCCTTTGCCTTCCGAAACTTTACGTTATATTGATTGTTAATAATCCCGAGACATGCTCTTGGAAGTAATTCTCTTGTAACCCAATGTTAGGCAAGTTTTACGTTTAACTTTCTAGAGCTTTAGTCGTACGTTCTAGATTATCTGACTTCAAGTTGAATAATATTTGCGGTTGTTTTATGACCCTGCTCAGAGGATACACTTTTGAAATCAATTTTTTTTTATTGCTTAGTTAGACGAGGGAACTGACGGCCTACCTGGTGTTAAGTGATCACCTCGAGACATGAGTTCTAAGTCTGAAGCTCTTAGCTCTCAATGCTACTTTTAATATTACTTCTAACTTTCACTAAGCTCACGCGTAGTAACCAAATCTTCAGCTTAATTATCTCGTTCCTTTTAAATTATTTCTGCATCTTGACCCTAATATTCTCAAATTTTATCAGTAGAAGAGTATTGTTTAGAAAATTCTAAGTGAGATAAGACAGCCTATTTTAATATGCATCTTCTTGTTTAATGCAGTGCTCATAAATATGGTTTCTTTAAAGGATGAGGATTTGTAGGATGGTGGTATATACTAGCGCTGACCAGAATATTATAACCATTACCAAATTATTGCAGCAAAGACGTCTCTTATATATTTACATACATTTCACTTGAAATTCGTAACAAGTACAGTAAGAATTGGAATAGTTTTCGTAAGTAGTGAAACTACAAAACACTTTAACTAAATGGGTACAAAATTTTCGTTTGACTAAAACTTCCTTAACCGTTTACGTTAAGATTAAACATAAAACTTAATACAGCACGGTTCAAGTAATTAACTAAGGTTTGTATTACAGAATATTCTTTGAAATATCTAATTGGAAAAGTAAAATATGGCAATAGATGAGCAAACCCAATGCATTAGTGTTGCCATGGGGGCAATTCCGAGGTTTTTGAATCTATTTAAAATATAGCAGCTGTTTTTCGACACGAAAAACTGGAAAAACTGTTAGAGGAAGTCTGAAAGTGGCACATGTGACAGAGAAGTTGAGTAGTGCGCGTTTGGGATGGTATGGACATAATAATATGATGAAACGAAATGACAATGAGGTTGGTAAGATATTGTTAACTTTGAATGTGGAAGGCTATAGAGGAAGAGGTAGACCTTGGAAAAAATAGATGGGCTGCGTGTAAAACGATATGTGTAAGAGGGGAATGAGCGAAGAAATGGTATAATTATTATAGAGGAGTATGGAAAGAGAAACATGTTGCGCCAGCCCCAGGTGACTGGAGGAAGGACAGGAAAATGTTTTTTGACACGAGGTTAAAGCCCCATTAGCATAGTATTCGACGGATTTTCTTCTTTTCGTTGCTTAGATTGGATTGCGATAGAAATGGGAAAGATAGTGGCATACTTGTGGTGGGCTTGCAACATGTCCTACCATTAGTGCTTAAGATAAGAACTGGTGGTCAGAACTTAGTGTGAATTTTATAGTTTAACATTATAGTTTATAGATTCGATTAAGATTTGCATTATGAATGGAAATACTACTGCAGATGGATAAAGAGAAAGAATTTGCAATAGCTCAAGGAAGCCGGTATGACTGTATTTTCTAATAGATGGCCAGGACAAACAATTTTAATTATTTAGAGTCTAAGTTTCTACTAATAGAAAATTTAATAATATCTTCACAAAGATATTACTTTCAAAAAGGAATGTTACAGCAATAACACAAACTGCGGCAAACTAAACTTATGAAGATATAGTTTGAAATGAGTTTTATTTTTGCTCAGAGCACTGACAGTTCACGTCGTATTTTGTTAGAGAATATCAAGGAATATAATTTTTTCAAATATAATATGTACAAAAGGTTTTTAGAAAAGCGTTGTACTGAAAACATAATCTTCTTTTGATAGAAAACTAAAACTTTAATCGTGACAGTGGCCAAAAGCGATTTGATTATGTTTCAACTTTTTCATTTCATGTTTTACTGAGTAAGGGATCTGTGTAGAACGCGATCAGGATGAAGCCACGGGCATAATATTATACTGTTATGACAACTCCCGTGATGTAACAACCATTACCTGTAATTATTTTGTTTTTTGAAATGGGAACAAATGTCTTGGGAACTCCATTAAAGATTTAAGAAATTACACATTAAGACAAGTTAAAGAAATGGTAGGTATTTTTATATTACCTTATAGATATAGCAAAGTGAACGGTCACTTATGCGAACAAATTTAAGGGACAAAGAAATTTTTGGATGTCGTGTAGTACTGCAGAGGCGAGTATACGTTAATTGCTTCGTAAAAAAAAGCTGGTAGTTTAGTTGCCAAAACAATTCGTATAAAAACAATTAAGTAACCCTAGGTGTCTACTTATCGGTTACGTCAATTGTGAATAAACATTATTATCACAGATAGCAAGTTTAGTAAATTACGTATGTTGCTCTGTATTGAAATAATAATTGTCCTTAGTGCTTTTTTGAGCGTTCATCTACTCAAATACATTTCATTCTCCAAATGTGACCTACAGTAATGGATTAATCCAACAAAATTCGAAGTGTTCGTTTTTTTCTATTTCTAGATGTATGTAATAAAAGACATGTCGAATGTACATTTGATTGAACTATAGATTTTCTAGCTACGAGCCGTGCTTCGCAGAATCTACCACCGGATCGGAAACGCGACCCACTGAGAAGATCCGGCGAGAAACTCAGTGGGCTGTGTCTGAGACTTAATTTACTCGTCGAGCCCTTCGTCGTAAGCGACGGGTTCGACGAGAACGCTGACCGGTGCTTGAAGTACCTAGAAGCACCGTTAGTGGATCGGGAGGATCCGAGATGACATGTTTTGGGCGACGTCGACTGCTTTCCATTACTTCCGCAGGATCGGGAATGTAGTTACCGGCGGCCACGATGAGAGGGTTTTCGTGTCGTGCAGCTTTATCGAAGTGGCGCATCGACGCCGACTGTAAATACTTACTGATGGACTCGAAGTCCAGGTCGTCATGGAGGTTACAATTTAAAATAACTACAGATTCTTTCTATTATTTCTGTCAGATTAAATTTGAAACTGAAAATCGATTTAAGTTCTCACTACATGTATTATTCAGTTCGTGGTTACATTCTAACCTCAAACAGTTAGTGGTTTTCAATTGGCCCATTCCAGCTAAAATAACGATCAGTACTTTCCTAAATGCTGAAACGATTTATCTCAACAAATTCCACAAACGAATCCTCCTTATTGGAAGTTGGATGGATTTTAACTTTGGTCTTTACGATCCGCATTCAAAGTTACGCTTTTCTATTTTTTTTGTAAGCCTCATGACTACTTAAAAGAACTAAGTAGAAATTTCCAAACGCTACAGATATGTTAGGGGAAATGTATTTTTTTTAAATTGCTTTTAATGCCGCGAAGAACTGTACAGATTTAAAACTATAGCTATCCTACATCGAACTTCGATTTCATTAATATGTAAGGTGGATTGGCGGTATCTATGTTCGTTAACATTTAATGTCTTCGGTAACCACTTAACACTGAGAATTTAATGTAATTGCTTATTCTAATGAGTATTCCGCTTGAACTCAATCAAAGTAATTACGATGACAAAACGGTAAATATTTATTCTATCAATTTATTGTAGCTTTGCCACTGAAGGGGACAGCGTTTGTAAACCAGTTCGAGCTTACAATAATAAAACCATAATTTGTTGTATATTTACTTGTATGTTACGCCGGTAAGAGTAACGCCATCTATCGCCAAATAGTTGAACGAATATCGAAGGATCTAGTAGCACCTAGAACGCTCGAGAAGTACAACACCATCTAATGTCAGATAACGGAAACACAATAGCTACTAGAGATGTGTTGAATATTCACGGTAATTTTTGGGATGTGGTATCGACTATAAAAGCATTGCAGCACGCAGTCAGTTAGTAATCGAACTACTCGAAGCAAAACAGCGAACGGATCACCTGAAGCGAAGCGGAAGAAGCGAATTGAGAATTTTAAAGTGTTTGCGAAGTGTTTTAAGTGTTTTAAGTGTTGAATACAGTTTTTTTAGTTGTACTCTGGTGGAGTTTTATTTATCCCGAACCCCAGTGCGTAATATTACTATAGTAACAAAATATTGATTTATTTTATTATGATGATTTATTAAAGTCGTTCATATAATTCTAAAATATAATGATATATAGTTCTAGTTAGTCTAGATAGTTGGAACATTTACCATGGTTTTTTGTATGTAATGTATGAGAGGAATTAAAAAAAAAAAAGTTGTTGCAGTTTTACTTTCTATAATCTTGCGAGATATTTTGACATTTTCACAATAAGTATACCAAAGAGAGTCAAATTCACGATATGTTATGAAGATTTAATAGAACGCTTAGAAGGGATATCTTCGGCCTGTGTTCACTCTGAAGAGACCGGATCTGAGAAAAAACAAAATTATTGATTTGATATGTGTAATTCATAATACCTCCTTTTGCCTAAAACCTCCTTTTGCCTTTTTCTCTTTTTCTTTCTTTTCTTTTATTTGGATTTCATTTTATTTTATTTGATGTGAAAGGCAATAAATGATTTTTATTATTATTATTTATTTATGAACATTCAATATTATACTAAAAAAATTGGAACCATTTTAAGTAATTTTAAGAAATAATAAACATCTGCAGTACACTAAATTCAACAGATTCTGGAGCATGTCGCTATTGTCTTACTATTCTAATATTGATTTGTGTAAGTAGTAAATCAGATTAAATTCATCTTCACAAAATCAGATTTGCAAACATAAGCTTTTCAATAATAGGCTATATTTAATAACTGTACTAAGTATTACTAAACCATTTATTTAATCACTACATAGTATAAAACAAAGTCGCTTTCTCTGTCCCTATATCTGTCTGTCCTTATGTATGCTTAAATCTTTAAAACTACGCAACGGATTTTGATGCGGTTTTTTTAATAGATAGAGTGATTGAAGAGGAAGGTTCATATGTATAATAACATCCATTAAATAGTGGAGAAATCAATAATAAATTACAGTTTCCGGAGTGAAGCGACGGCGGGTCCCTAGTTCAATTATAAATAACTTACCCGCTCTTTCTCAAGTCGTCGTTTCCCATGTTGAGACGGTTTCCGCGGCACGAGTTCGCAGACACCTGCGCCATGTTGTTGCACTGGTTACCGACCAGATGATTATTGGTCACGGTTGAAGCAAATAGTTCCCAAGCACGATTGTGGTTGCAAAGGCTCAATGTACAACCAGGCTGAGAGTTTCCGCCGTTCGGGAAGAAATCGGCATTGGCGACCGCAGAACCGATGCCAAGACCAGTTGTACTGCCATCAGTGTGGATAGCCTCAACGTAAACCCCATCTCTTGCACTGAGGCGATTAGAATTGGTGTTCCATAGAGGACCGGCCGGGTCCAAACCTATATTCGAAAATCATTTGTATTAAATTAGCCATAAACAGTAGACAAAAATTATCTATATATTAAAACGTGAAGCAAAAACTTTGTATTCCTTTTTACGAAAATTGCGCGGACGGAGGCGTATGAAATTTTCCACACTTATAGAGAATATAGAGAAGAAGCGCACAATGCTAACTAATATTTTTTTAAAATAATGCCTAAAAGACACATTAAATCAATAAAGAAAACATTACACACACTACCATGTATTTGACGCAACACATATATTATTATTTATAAATATACTCTTTGTTTATTGTCAATTGTCAATCTTTTGTTAGTGTTTAAAGTCTGTGGTCAAAAATTGAGAATAGATGAATATTGTTTGTCTTTAATATTAGTGTTTGTCTTTATTATTATTACTTTACTGGTGGTAGGATCTCTTGTTCAAGCTAATTCTTAAAGGAGTTTAGGAATTTTAAGTCATTATTACCGGTAACACGAGCCACTCGTCCACCAAGTTCACGTCCAGCATTGCCAACTAAATGCGCGCCCAGACTGAAACCAACCAGGTGCATGGTGTTGAACGGAGCTCCTGTTGCTCCGTTAAGGAACGTCAAGAATTGTCCCAAGCCGCGACCGACAGCAGGAACTCCTCTCACTGCAGTAGCGTAGTCTGACAGAGCAAGTCTTCTCCAGTCCAAAACAATTACGTTCACGTCAGCTTTGCCAAGTAAAGCTAAAAAAAATTGAATAAGTTATTCAAGTATTAATCAAGGATTACGCCAAAAATATGCACTTTTGAGCAATACTCGTATTTTTGTACCGGTTTTATTTAATTTCACATATTCAAGGATAGCCCATTTTTTACTACACATACATTTGACTTTTGTATTACATTGGCAAATAAACTCATGGCCTACTTTGTGTAAAGTGAATATTGGATCCCTAAGATATCTCCACGTAGATTTGGCCACTGACCTCGAGGTATGTATGACGTTGATCAAATTGCATAACGACTGTCCACTCTTCTTCAATCCGCAACACAAAATTGGCTCGCGGCATAAAGGGGTAGAAATGTTACTAATGCGCAAAAATGTGTGGTGCGAAACTATACTAATGCCGCTTTTTAGTTCAGGAGACTAAGAACTAAATACCAAGATAATTACCATCTCTGATGGTCGGATTGATGTCAGTATTCTGGTTACTGAGCCAGCCATGAGCAATAACAACAGTTGGGTTGTTGGCGTTGAAGTTGGATCTTGTTACGGAGTTAGCATTGTTGATAGTCAACGTTTGGGAGGAACGACGATTGCGCCTAAAAGAAACAGAATATCCTAGTTGAGAGTTAATATTTAATTTAAATAAAATGGAACGGAGTAATTATGGAAGAAAACAATTGAATCATATGTGTGAATATGGTACTTATAATATAGAGACAATTCTGACTTGGATTTTCAAAAGGTTGAAGCTTAACAACAGAAAGAAGTTTTCTAAACAGTTCTAGGTCCGTTTCTCTCTTACCTGGTGAAGAGTAAATACTGGTTGTTTGCAGGGTTTCTGTAAATTTCATCGAGAAGTTGATAGTCAGGTGTAGCTTCAAGATCTACTGTGTGCAGATTTCCATCACCGTCCGGCATTTCAATGTAGCGAGGGTACTTTCCTTTATGAAATGAATCCTCTTGGACGGGCACGGCTGCAGCCAGATAAACTAAAAAATGATGAATGTTTTAAATTTTCAAAGAAATACTAAGGTCTGATCTCATTCTTAGGTTGGCTAATTTTATTCTTGTGGCCTTTGTAAAGCATAGAGATTTCATGTTGATATTTCGAGCGTTATTCCCATTTTTTAGTCTTAATACAGCGAAACCATATGCTTCACGCCATGATACTCAGGCTAAGTGCTATATACTAAGTTAATTATAGCTTCACAAAGAACAATTCGATTTTGAGTGGAGTACTATTTCCATTTTCTGGCCGGAGATCCCATGTATCAAACACATTCCATTTGACTTCATACATGCAATGGCCGTTCGGATTGTCGATAATTCCACAGTTATGTCTAATGTCTCTATATGAGTAATGATATGAGATAATCTCGTTATTTTCATGATTTGAGATAACTTCGTCATCTCCATTTTAATATCGTACATTCCAGGAGCAGAGTTCATTAAATTTGACGCCACTGAGTTCATTTTCAGTGTATATTCAGAGCTCTTTTGTGCCTGTGACATATCTTCAAACGATGCTTAAAGAGTCCTTAGGTAAGCAGCAGCTCACTTGTTTCAAGCAATACCAGCTGATATATGTGAGAAGGTAGACCCTATGCGTTGCTTCTGAATGCAAAATGCAAATATTTTCAAAACATAAAAAAGTACAGCTTTTCTTTGTTTATCTATTGAAAAACCTAGATTGATTATACATTCTATTATTAAATATGAGCTGATGATGCTGTAGCCTAGAAAAATCACAATCGATGTTTGACAAGCTTGAAACAATCGTTGGGCTAAAAATGGATGGTACTCCCAATTGTGCGGCTCCACAACATGACTTACCACCATTACCAAGACAAGTTTCAAACAACCAAACAATAAATACACATTTCAGAAGTAGCATCTTACCCGTCCAAGTGACCAATAGTATCGATATGAACTTCATGTTATAGATTCAGCGAATGCCAGGAACGAACTCTACGTTAGTATTTTTTAACCCACTATATATTCATGTTTTATCATATCTTTATATTATAATTCGTGATTAAATAAGATTATGCATATTAACAAATAATGACTTCACTTATTTGTTTGCTTGGTTTAAAAAATAGTACTTAACTAGCTGTGCCTGCAACTCCGTCTGCGTGGAATAGTGACTTTGGGCAGCAGTTTTAGGACATATCTTTTGGTTTAAGAACACCGTCATTTGGGTATTTAGAAAAATATAATTTAAAGTAATGCTTCTCTATACACGACATTAGACGTATAGCCATCGGGGATCAAAGCATACAGCTTGCTAGGATTGCTAACATGTGAAAGGGCTACATAGCCGTGTGACCGAGTTGAAAAGCAGTTAACACTTAGATCTACACCCACTACTTTTAGCATCTGACCTTGGGCTTTATTTATTATCATCAGGAAACATAGGCTCAATGGAAACGCGATCGGCAGTGAGTCGTGCTTCTCGTTCTTCAAGTGACTCTTGAGACCGGGCATTTGCTGTCCGAACCCTCTGAGAGCTCAGACGGATTTCACTATCTGTAAAGGTCTCAGACTCAAGCGATAGTGCATGAGCCTCGCGATTGGCAGTGAGACGTGTTTCTCGTTCTTCAAGTGTCTCCTGAGACCGGATCACTGCTGTCTGAACTCTCTGAGAGCTCAGACGGATTTCACTATCAGTAAAGGTCTCAGACTCAAGTGATAGTACATGAGCCTCGCGATCGGCAGTGAGACGTGCTTCTCGTTCTTCAAGTGTCTCCTGAGACCGGGCATTTGGTGTCCGAACCCTCTGAGAGCTCAGACGAATTTCCTTATCAGTAAAGGCCTCAGACTCAAGCGATACTGCATGAGATTCACGATCGATGGACAAACGTGCGTCACGCTGTTCCCTGTTCTCCCTAATTATAATTCGAGTGGCCATTATTCGAGAACGATGTGAACTCAATCGAGATTCTCGCTGAGCCGAAATTTCTGTAACACGAAACCTCGCCTGACGTTTCTGAGATGTAGTGAGTCTTGCCTCATGATTTTCTTCAGATTCCTGTGATCGAACTAATCTCACCCTTTTAGCAGATTTAGTTTAGTTTAGCACATTTAGCATAGTTGGATCTTTTTCGAGGCATTCTTACAATAAGTAGTACCTACTAACACAACGTTGTTTGGTAAACACGTACTTATCATATATAACATAACTTATCATAAAGCTTACCATAATAAATTCGTGAAAAACACATCTAAATCGGATAAGTTGTTTCTGAGATTAGCGTGCACAAACGCACAGACAAACAGAGAAACAGACAAAAATTCTAAAAATCCTTATTTCGGGTTCTGTTCCGTTCATAAAGCCCCCTATAACAGTTTTCCTGAGATATCTTCCATGTACAGACAGCGACCAGTTACGATTTTATTATATGAATTGATGATTGATGATGATGATGATGATGATTGATGACATTGATTGATTGATTGATGATATTGATGATGTTGATGATTGATATTTATTGATTGATGATTGATATTGATATTGATGATCGATGATGATGATGATTGTTTGATGATATTTATGATGATGATTGATGATGATGATATTGATTGATGATGATGTCAACCTAATCTTTTAACTATAGAAAACAAACATGCCTATGGGTTAATTTACTCATCGAGCCCTTTGTCGCAAGCAACGGGTTCGGCAAGGAAACAGCGGCGCGGCGTCGCGACGCCGCGCTTTACTTATATATACCCGCGCGGCCGCACAGGCGTAAACAATCTACAAACGCCCAGCTATGTGATTATTTAAATTGGCATAACTTTTCTATTTATGAACCGCTTGACATGAAACAAACATTAAATGTTAAGTAAAGCTTACCACAATAAGTTAAAATAAACGACATCTAAATCGGAGAGATTAGCGTGCACAAACGCACAGACAAACAGACAAAAATTCTAAAAATCATCATTTTGGGTTCTATTGCGGTCATAAAGCCCCCAATAACAGTTTTCCTGAGATATCTTCCATGTACAGACAACGACCAGTTACGATTTTATTATATTTAATATAATATTTAATATTTATATGTATTGATGATGATGATTCACGATACTGATGTCCTAATTGAAAATTTATTCCGTTGCGTTATCATCAAAATAATCGATAAGTTTCATTAAATTCTGTGTAAGCTTTATGTTAGGTACATGATATAGACAATAACTTCACCATGGCTGTCATGTTTATGCTAATTGCCGGCAAAAGATGAACTCTTTCTTGCCATATTGACTTGACAGATGAAGTACAAAAAATGGTAAGTGAATAAATTAGGACACATAAACTACGTTTATTAGCTCACAAAGAATTGTTAAGCATCTACCTTCACCGAATGATAGCTTTTACCAGGATCAATTCAATATCTACAGAAGGGACTACAGTTATGGCCAATCTTATAGTTGGAAAAACGGACTAGAAGGGTATACAGATTTGTCAATTCCTAATATTTTATCCACGATGATGGAACTTGCCACAGTACCAAAACATTAGGAAAACATTCAACAACAAAATTCGTGCTTGTGATTTTATTACCATGTGAAAGTAAGAACTTATTGAATAATAGAGTTCATAACTTAGATAACTGCATAATTTAAATCAATTATTTACAAGTACCAATCAGATATTAATAGTTTGGTAAGTTTGGTAAATTGGTATGTTGGAAAACGCGAAGCGAATTCACACCGGTGCTATAGTATTTCTTACACATATATGCCGTACGCAGAAGGGTCTTTTTTCAGAGCTTTAGTACATAGAAAAATATTAATATTTTTGACAAATAGTGATCCTTCTTAACCAATTTATACAAAGTTCACGATTGACTTTGACGATGAAGAAATGGCAGTTTGAAATAGAAATTGAGCATGCCTATTTTTTATTTGCTTGATTACTGCTAGGTCGTATTGTAAGCCCTTATAGGTACAGCCTCACTGTCTATTTGGCTTAAAGGTTGGAACAACCACTGTACATATCANAATATTTTTGACAAATAGTGATCCTTCTTAACCAATTTATACAAAGTTCACGATTGACTTTGACGATGAAGAAATGGCAGTTTGAAATAGAAATTGAGCATGCCTATTTTTTATTTGCTTGATTACTGCTAGGTCGTATTGTAAGCCCTTATAGGTACAGCCTCACTGTCTATTTGGCTTAAAGGTTGGAACAACCACTGTACATATCATGTATTAGCGACGATGACGGTATTTACGTTGTGATAGTCTCCGGTAACCCTTTGACACCAGGTAGCTCACCCAAATATACATAAGTATTTACATTTACATTTTTATATATATGTCGGCGCAACGTCACTATTTAGTTAACTAAAAATAGTTAATATTAAAAAGTCCTTAATGTTACGTATATCAACAACTGTTTAAGGTTGTATTCAAGAGAATTCATGATCAAGCTACCCCACTTTCTAATAAATACGAGTGACTATTGTCGCACAAAACATTCTGGCTCGAACAGCCGAACAGAGCGGAGTCTTCTGTTGTTATCGCTGTACACTTGAAATGAAATAAACGGAATTCATTGGAAAAGGGATTCTATGTCTTAATTACTGTCACTATGGAAGGCAATGATAATGATGAAGAGAATGGCGTCAGGAACGTTGACGTCATCATTTAAAAAACACCATGGAACCAGCCTATCCGTCATATACATATATATATTTAAAAATGCATATTGATTTTATATTATAAGGGTTAGGGGAACAAAAAAATGTGTCAAAAACACCATGAATCACACAAGATTCACAATTTAGAAAAAATTGTCCTATTAATTAATTAATTAAAAACGCAAAGAATCGGGGTATTTTTTTTTTTGAGTATGTGTTTAATAGTTTAAAATTAAATAAATAGAGGTTAGTATATTTTTGAGTAACATTTTAATATCCGGTAACATTTATAGAAGTACATTTTGTATGTATATTACTTAAAATTATTACATATTGTATTTAAGTTCACAAAATCTTAATATGGATAGCTCCTGCCTGTGTTCACTCGGTATAAGCCGGTTCTGTAATGAAATAAAAACAAATATTTTTAAATAATGGACATATTGTGGCGAGCTTTGCAGTAGGCTTATGTCCAGCAGTCTGTCATGTAGGCTAACATTAGTAGTAGTGGTGGTAGTAATTGGAGCCTGCACAGTTTGGTGTCACCATGTCGCTTATCGTCAACAAACGTTTGATAATATAAAAAAAACACATTTAGGGCTAAATGTATAAACATCATTAGTTATAAAAAAGAACATAATAATATGATCGACCCGATAGAGGTTTTTTATATTTTTTTATTGCCCTTGTAGGCAGACGAGTATACAGTTCACCTGGTGGTGAGTGGTTACCGTCGCCCATGGACTTCAGCAATGCCAGGAGCAGAGCCAGGCCCCTGCTTACCGTTAAGTACTCTCCACAAGCCTCGTTTGAAGAAGGACATGTCATAGCGCTCTACAAACAGCGTGGAGGGGAGCTCATTCCAAAGCCGGACGGTACGTGGCAAATATATCTCTGGAAACGCACTGTGAATGAATGCAGTGGATCCAGGTAGCATGGATAAACTCTACTCCGCCAGCGGGCGGTGCGATGATAAAAACGAGATGATAGGATCATCTCAAATCATTCCTCAGAGCCCAGAGAGTTACATTTTTCAGGGCCGGTGGTCAAGCTGATATAGCGTAGCGGTATAGCAGCCAAGGTCAAACTATCCCGGGAGATGCCGCTGGTATCGCGAAATACCCCGCTGGACTAGACCTAGCTTGTCGCGTCAGAACGCGAAACAACTTCAACTTAGCTTAAGTTTAATAAAACTGTTGTTATGTAACTCGTGAGAGCGCTGGTAGCGGATTGCGCAGCCTCCTCCAATTAGGTCGCACCGTAACTTTAATTGGGGGGAAGTTGTCTGCCACACGGGTCGGAAGCGGGCTAAAGCTCTTTTTAGGCCCCCGGCTTTGCAGCGAAGGATAGAGATTGCTTGCAAACGAAAAATGCTTTCTAATTTGAAGAGCGAGACACCAGTTATACAATAACGGAGAGTTCGACCTCAAGTCTCTATGTGTGGATGGGTACTGGTATATACTACCGGCCATCACTCAAACTACGAACACATCATGAAAAACATAACAAATAATTATATCTCACCCGAATTTCCTCAAGTCATCATTGCCCATATGGAACTGTCTACCACGGCAATTGTTTGAAGAGATTTGATTGGTGTTGTCACATTGATTTCCAACTAAATGATTATAGGATACCGTTGCAGAGAAGTATTCCCATGCACGATTGTGGTTGCAGACGTTGAGCAAGCATCCGGGTTGTGAAACACCGCCATTGGGGAAGAAGTCAGCATTTGCAACAGCGGCACCAATGCCGAGACCACCGATTATATAACCACCGTCAGTATGGATAGCTTCCACGTAGACACCATCAGTAGGTGCTATACGACCAGAATTTCTGTTCCACAGTGGACCAGCTGGATCTAAACCTATTAAAAATTTATAAGAGGCCATTACATTATGCACACGACAAAAAGCTCTTCATGTTACTCATACATCGAAGCTGTTGATATTTTAATTAACTGTTAGTTGTAATGAAATTCATACCAGTAACACGTGCAACGCGCCCTCTTAGCTCCCTTCCAGCATTGGCGACTAAGTGAGCTCCCAAGCTGAATCCAATCAGGTGCATAGAATTAAAAGGAGCGCCAGTAATACGATTAACAAAATCCAAGAACTGTCCCAAACCCCTGCCGACAGCAGGAACGCCTCTCACAGCAGTTACATAATCGCTGATTGCAAGCCTCCGCCAGTCCAATATGATGACATTGACGTTACTTTTCTTTAGATATACTGGAATTGAAAAAGGGAAATGCTTTTTGTGAGCACTTTTATTAAGGTAAACGGTAGGTAACGTCTTGTGAGTCCACACGAGTAGGTACCACCGCCCTGCCTATGTCTGCAGTGAAGCAGTAATGCGTTTCGGTTTGAAGGTAGGGCAGCTGTTGTTCCGTTAAAACTGAGACCTTAGAACTCTTGTCTCAAGGTGGGTGAAGCTAAAACTTAGTACCCCTTTTTACGAAAATTACACAGACGGAGGAGTATGAAATTTCACACACTTATAAAGAATATAGGGAAGGAGTGCAGAATGCTAATATTTTAAAAAAAATATGCATTAATATTACATTAAATCAATAACAAAAAACATTACACACATTACCAAGTTTAAGACACACAAACACCCACATAGATATACTCTTTGTTTATTGTCATACTTTTGCTATTGCTTAAGTCTGTGGTCTAATCGAGAATAGGTTAATAATATTATTTATCTTTAATATTATTTGCCTATAGTGTAGTCTTGGCGAAATCTGTGATCGTAGAAGTATAATAGTATTTGACAATGGAACCATAATAGTGTTCAAACTTATAATTGCAATTAATTATAGTCGAATTTCGCCTACTGCGGGACCACTAGTATGTTGTAGATATGTATGGGCTCCGGTAACCACTTAACACCAGGTCGTGAATTCGTTCACCCATCTAAGCTGAAAAAAAATAAATAAAGCAAATTAAGTTACAACTGAAGTATACTCTTTTTTGGATCTAACATAAAGCGGCTGGCCAAATTATGAATACTCAATTCAAATGAAGGTCTTTTAAATATTTTTTGTTGTAGTGTAATTTGAATTTTTCATTATTGACAGGGCTAGATAGATATTGTAGTTCCATATTCGTTGACACTAGCACTACCGGTGTGTCTATTAATTTAAAGAACTTATACGAATGGTTGTTGGAGCATGATAACCGTTATTTCGAATGTGTTAAGATAGGAATCGAAATTTTCGATAGAAAGAAAAAATGGAATCGATATTTTCGCCACATAACACCAGTTCACGACGCTATGACATAATTAGGTATTTCGTTCGAAAGTATCTTGATTAATTTACTGACGTAAATCGGCATTGACTTTTAATCATAATTAGATAAAACAAACTTCGATAATTTTAAGGAGTTTTGCAAAATACAATTACGCATTATTAATTATATTGTAATGCGATACGTGACCTCATTGTATGCGAACATAATCAAATAAAATAAAATCTGATTGGTCTGATTGGTCTGATTGTATAGAACTGATTTTGATTTTAGAGCGCATAAGTACCTTCTCAAATTATAATAATCATTTGAAACAAAAACCATTCTTAAGTTAAATAATGAAGTTTGATTTTACTTGGCTTATACCCCACTTGGTCAGATAAGGGTAAGAAGAAGAAGAAGTTGATATTCACTTAGTTCACACAAATGAAACCAATGCTGACATAAAATAAAAAAGGCCAGTCGTCCTTTCTCAATATTCATGAAAAATTTGGCCTTTTTATTCAAAACTAAGTCAGGTTCAATTATTTCATCAACATATCAAATTTCATAAGATTCTTTACGAGGCCTTTTGATTTCAATAATATTAATCATGTATTCGAACTTACCGTCACGAAGGACACCGTTCAATTTAGTCTTCTGGTTGCTGAGCCATCCATGGGCGACGACCACGGTTGGTACGTTACGGTTAAAGTTAGATGAAGTAATTGAGTTTGCATTGTTCATTACCAAGGTTTGCGGTGAAGTTGGATTACGTCTAAAATTGGTAAATGATTTTTATTAGCTACCAGCTGACCCGGTAGACTTTGTAGTGCCTCAATCGATTAATAAAAGACCTAAACTTTATTTAATTCCGAGCATTTTCACATTTATCTACCTTTTAAGCCTTCTCTGGACTTTCACAAATAATTCAAGACCAAAACTAGCCAAATCGGTCCAGCCGTTCTCGAGTTTTAGCGAGACTAACGAACAGCAATTCTTTTTTATGTATATAGATTAGACGAGTGGCAAGCTTCACAATCGTTTCAAAGGTTTCTGTTTTAAGGATAGTCAAACCGTTGTTGTTAATAGAAGGGAGATCTTAAGCACTAGCCCATATTTCAATAATAATTTGAATAGCAGTATCAACTTCTAGTGTCAAAGAATTTAAGGAACATCATAAAAAACGCCAAGAATATAAAGTAATAAGCTTTTTTTTTCTACTTAAGCTGATGGCCTTGAGTGGCCATTTCAGCGTAACCTTAACAAGTAAGTAAGCTTACGAGGCTCAAATCTGACACCGTTGCTAACATTAACACTAGAAAGAGCAGTGCTTCGCAGAATCTACCACCGGATCGGAAACGCGACGCACTGAGAAGATCCGGCGAGAAACTCAGTGGGCTGTGTCTATGGGTTAATTTACTCGTCGAGTAATCGGTAATCGGTGCTTGAGGTACCCAAAAACACAATTAATGGATCAGGAGGATCTGAAATGACGTGTAATAATATTCGTAAATCTTCCGTAATTACGAAAACTGAAGAGGATTTTAAACTTTGGAATCAATAAAATTTAAATAATAAACCGAGTTTAAACCATAAAAGTAGGTTTAATTTAAAACGAAATGGTCTTGTTTACCAAGAAACAGAATAGAGTATTCTGAATTAACACTAATAATAACAAATTTTTAATGGTTCTGGTATTTTTCAGACGGAATTATCCTGACAAAGGCTCCTCTGGGGTACAAGAAATGCAGAGAACGGAACAATGCAAATTCTATCTGTCATTACACTCGTTGACACTCAACTGGCTACTGTTCTAAATTACACTAATTTCATTCTCATTTAAAATTTCAAGCAGTATTAGAATAAAATCAAAGAATTTCATCCAAATGCCTTTCGATTGACTTGGGTCTTTTACCTAATCATAGCAATAAATATGATAGTTATAATGAACACACCTTGTGTACAATAAGTAGATGTTATTAGCAGGATTTCTCTCAACTGCGTTGAGCAGTTGCATGTTGGGTTTGGCTTCGAGATCGACATTTTGTAGTATACCGTCTCCGTCCGGGAACTGAATGTAACGGGAGTATTTCGCCTCCTCCTGCGGTACGGGCACCGCAGAGGAAACTGTAACAATGCCCACATGACTTGTAACTTTCGTAACTGTAACAATGCCCACATGACTTGTAACTTTCGTAACTGTAACATAACTGTAACTTTCACAACAACTACGAGTAACAACAACGAGTGAGCTGAGAAGTCGTCGTGGCCTAAAAGATAAGACGTACAGTCCATTCGTATCGAGCGATGCAACGGTGTCCGAATCCGATCAATTTTTCTAATGAAATACGTAGGTACTTAACAAATGTTCACGATTGACTTCCACGGTGAAGGAATAATATAGTGTAATAAAAATCTAATCCGCAAAATAATTTGCGTTATTACTGGTGGTAGGACCTCTTAATCCGCACGGGTATATACCACCACCCCGCCTACGTGGAGCAGTAATGCGTTTCGGTTTGAAGGGTGGGGCAGCCATTGTAACTATAGGTATACTGAGACCTTAGAACTTATATCTCAAGGTGGGCGGCACATTTACGTTGTGGGTGTCTATGGGCTCCGGTAACCACTTAACACATCTAAGCAATAAAATAAAAAAACGCAGAGCAATTCATTAACTATCTATCTTGGTTCAACGAACCAGCTCAGTCTTTATCTCCGGAATGAGCATCAATCAGCTTAGCGAGCCAATGCCGTCTTGACTTGGAACTCACTATGTGAAGGAATTAAACAAAGTCAATATTTTATTATCAAGTTCGTCTCAGAGAAGATTCCCTTGTTACTTTTTACTTATGCTGTAGTAATGACGTATCTACATAATAATATATTTATTTATAAACTTTAATTTTTCAACCAAAAACACAGGTAGAAATAAATAAAATAAGTATTATTTGGAAAAAAATGTTTTAAAACATTTATTACATAATCTTTTTTATATTGTTTTTTTAATGTCTCTTATTTCTCTAATAATTTTCATCAAATTGTCTCCCGTTTTTCATTTGAAATTATATTGTTATAGATAGTATCCGTGATCATGATCTGTATATTATAATGGTTAGTAAGTAGCAAATTTTCCCAAAATCTGTGATCTCGTAAACCTAATTGCGTTGAAGATAAATTAATTATTGAAATAACATACCCGCAACTATCAACAGGAAAGCCAAAGGGCTCCGCATAACGTATGCTATTTGAGGTCAATTCAGTTTTTACTTAATAGCACCAGGTATTTATTTGACGACTATCTTCGATATTGGCGATAGAATTTAATCTAATCTTGTTAATTTTTTGTGATTTAGTATAATATTTTCCATATTTTCTACTTAGTACCAAGATTGATACGGAGATTGTTTTGATATATGATTTAATTTGATAATGTGTCATATTACTAATTTGTTACCACACAGACGCATGATATCACTAATTGTTCTCTATTATTACTAATTTTATGCTGAGTTGCTAAGCTACTGTATTGTATAATAAGAAGATGAATGTAAAGTATTGAAGTAGTTATCATGTCGACAATATAACAGAACAATGACTTTTAACTCTCAAATTATAATCGGTTTTAATATAATATACAAAAATGTACATGACTAATCCAAAAAAAAAACAATAAATACACGCTTGCATACAAATTTGGAGATTTCTACTGTAGATTACATCCATTAATATGTATCACAGTTAGAACAATACTGTTTCAAGGATAGCAATAAGCCGGCGAAGTGTTTATTCAATATCATGTAATTTTATTATTGTTATATTTATTATGATGATACCAATACTATAACACATATTTGCATATAATTATTATTTAAATATACATACATAGAGACATATATAGAGACGTATATAGAGAATATTATGTATTTAGATTTAATTTAAATATTGTAATTAATTATTTATTGTAATATTTTTCTGTGATTTCAGTCAGTAAATCCGCAATTCACATGTAAGTTGAATGAATAATTAAAGAGCAAATTTAGTTTCTTTTTTTATTATCAGTTGAGTTCAGTTGTAATTATTTGGAGATGAGAATAATTGAGTGATTCTTTGTGGCGGAATAATTCATTTTCTTGATGGTCCTGTGATTCTTAAGTCGGTCGATGATTTTAGTATGGGTATCTTCTAGCAGTGTTAAGTCGGTATATGCCGGATCTGAAACAATCATGAAAATTTGTTAAATTGTGATATTTATCGTAATCGTAAATATATATAAAAATGAATTGCTGTTCGTTAGTCTCGCTAAAACTCGAGAACGGCTCGACTGATTTGGCTAATTTGGTCTTGAATTATTTGTGGAAGTCCAGAAAGGGTTTAAAAGGTAGATAAAGATGAAAATGCTCGGAATTAAATAAAAATCTCCCGTCGGACGGATTCCTTTTGTTTGTTTTAAGTTTATTTTATACAAAAGTTTAGATCTTTTATTTATCGATTGAGGCACTACGAAGTCTGTCGGGTCAGCTAGTCGTGAATAAAAATAAATATTTCCATTTATGAAATTGGAATTTGGTACTGACCCAGTTTTCCTTAAATTGTCATTGCCCATGTTAAGGCGTCCTCCACGGCAAGTGTTAGCCGTAACTTGTGCCATATTGTTGCATTGAGTGCCGACCAAGTGGTTGTATGTAACCGTAGCAGCAAATAATTCCCAAGCTCGATTGTGGTTACACAGGCTAGTGGAGCAGCCGGGCTGTGAGTTGCCGCCATTGGGGAAGAAATCAGTACGAGCAATAGCAGATCCAATTCCAAGACCAGTGGTGCTACCGTCGGTGTGAATAGCCTCAACGTAAACTCCGTCTCCTGGCCTAAGACGGTTCGAGTTGGTATTCCATAGAGGTCCGGCGGGATCCAACCCTGAAATCAAGCAATTTTTTTTTATTGTTTAGATGGGTGGGCGAGCTCACAGCCCACCTGGTATTAAGTGGTCACTGGAGCACATAGACATCTACAACGTAAATGCGCCACCCACCTTGAGATATACGTTCTAAGGTCTCAGTATAGTTACAACGACTGGCAGGGCAGTGGTACCTACCCGTGCGGTCCTACCACCAGTAAAAATGGCTTTAGTTGTTTCTTTATTTCAATTAAAAATATATTCTGGTGCAACCGAAGGAGAAAAAGGTACCTGTGATGCGAGCAGCCCTTCCGCGTATTTCACGACCTGCGTTTCCAACGACATGAGCACCTAAACTGAAACCAGCCAAGTGCATGTTGGAGAAAGCAGCACCAGTAGCTTGGTTAAGGAAAGTTAGGAACTGCCCAACTCCTCGGCCGACACCCGGTACTCCTCTTACTGCTGTGTTATAGTCTGACTGAGAAAGATAACTCCAGTCGACAGAAATTACGTTCACGTCGGCTTTGTTCAGGAATGCTGTGAATATATACAAAAAAACGGGATCAGTTAAAACTGTTAGAAGCAAACTTTATGTTATTTTAATGAATTCAGGGATTTTTTTTCGTGTTGTAGGAAACTAATAAGAGTTACAAGAACAAGTCGTCATACCGTCGACGTACAAGGTGATCAAATCTCATTTCAAATATTGTATGGGGTGGTATTGATGAAGTAGATCGCTTGAGGAAGTAGGAAGTTAACCGCTAGACATAATGTTATAATAGTGTCAAGTCAAGTGATGCCCATACTAATGAACGCCATTTTTATTTTATTTTTTATTAATATGGATTTATAATTACCGTTCCTAATAGTAGGATTGGGTTCGGTATTCCGTGTGCTGAGCCAACCGTGAACAATCACAACAGTAGGGTTGTTGGCGTTGAAGTTCGAGTTAGTGATTGAGTTGGCATTATTCATTACCAAAGTTTGGCTAGCTCGTGGGTTGCGCCTTAAAAAAAGTTCATATCATATTACATTATTCATATAATTTAATCTCTTAAACCTAATTAATTGTTCTAGAATAATCCCATTTAGATTCTAAATTAAGTTCTTAAAGAAAACAAAACAAAACCAAATTACAAAACGAAAGAAAGAAAGAATCAAGAAAGAAAGAAAGAAAGAAAGAAAGAAAGAAAGAAAGAAAGAAAGAAAGAAAGAAAGAAAGAAAGAAAGAAAGAAAGAAAGAAAGAAAGAAAGAAAGAAAGAAAGAAAGAAAGAAAGAAAGAAAGAAAGAAAGAAAGAAAGAAAGAAAGGTCAACGCAGCTAAATTTACAAAGTGTAATTACTGTTGATATGATTATACACATGCTAACTAATAATCAGTCTTTACTTTAGCAACCAGAAGTTTGGACTTCATGTTTAAGTATTTTTTTAGTATTTGCAAACGCGGTGTCATGTGAGTCATTAAGAAGAATGTCCAGAATTCATATCCTAGTGCAAAGTCAAAGTAAGGGAAAGCTAATGGTTAGTTGTTGAGTTCAGCTAGGGTTAATCACTCATTAGATGGGTCATAGCAATATCTTGGAAAATGAAATACATGATTAACATACACAATTTCATAACTACCTTGTAAAAAGAAAATATTGATTGGCATTATTCCTGTTCACCTTATCCAGCAGGTCGTAGTCAGGTTCGGCTTCAAGATCTACTTTGTGAAGATTGCCTTCATCATCAGGGATATCCATATAACGTGGATACTCGCCTCTCTGTAACGGTTCTTCCTGCATAGGCACCGCAACAGCAAGATATGCTTGAAGAATAAAAGATATTTAGATATTTTTTTAAACCTTTGCTGTCGAAGTGCTATCTGCAGTAATTGTCACCGGCTTTGTTCATCTTGTTTGGCTGCCATTGATGTAATTTAGTGTTTTCAATTTTAAAAGTTTGAAAATCCATAAAAAAATATTTGTTCAAACTATGACTCATTAAATAAAATGTCTAATGTAATGAATCTAAATCTTAGGATTATATTCTAGTTTAAATGGTTTTTTTTTCGAAATTATGCTGTTGACTACATGCCACGTGCCAGCGGACCAGAGTTACCTGGAACTAGAGCGCTCTATTCACATTCTGTTTCCAGAAATCTTTTTTGCCACGTACCGTATCGTATTCTGTAAATACCGAGGAGGTATTTGCTTAACGCTACGATATGTCATTCTTAAAAAGAGGTTCAGTTATTGTTCTAATTAAATAAAGATCGGTTCAGCTATTTCTCTGGCATTGGGCATTCATGGGTTTAGGTAACCGTGTACCATCAAGCGGTACGTATGGTCACTTGCCTGTCATAGCAAAAAAATCTTAAATTCCATGATATTCACATACCTGCGCTAGCCAGTAAAACGACTACAAATTTTTTCATGCTACACGTTCAATTGGATTTCGGAATATACTCAGACTGATTGAATACATATTCGGTATTTATTCAAAATAACGGTATGATAAGCATTATCATTTGTGAATGAAACATAATTTTGGAAACAATAAGCAGTATTTAGATATTTGGCGATATTTTTTGGGTGCTGATAATTTTGTTATTATGCGAAAATTATTTTCCTTAATCTAAAGTTATGAAATATGCATTCGTTATCTTTAACTCGCTACTGGGCTGTGCATGAACTTAGCGTTATGTAATAAAACAAATCTGACATCCAATAATTATTCATGAAATGCTGTCTTTCACCTATAGGCGTCTAGTGCTGGACTTATGTCCAAGCTTTGCCAAGTGCCCGTGTGTGTGGTTTCCCGTTGATCTACCTTGTGGAAGGCCTATCAATGCTACGTCGGAGGAGGTTCATGAGTTTCCAGTACGCGGTCGACACTCAAGAACTCGCCAGTGGGCATGTGTTTTACGTGCAATGTTCCCACTGCTATTTCAACCTCGTAATCTTTGGGCTTTGTCGATTATCATGATTCTTCTGCGAATTTACCCCTTCCTTTTTTTTATCTCGCAGGGAAAATCTGATCATAGCCTTTTCTATTTCTCTTTGGGTGACCTTGAAGCTTTTGATGAGGACCATTGTGAGCTAACATAATATTAGACACCAAATTATTTGAAATGTGTATGGGTCATTATTGCAAAATTAATAATAAAAATAATTTTTTTTAGGGACAGTTGAGGCATTGCCAATACACAATTAATGCGTAAAAAAACAATCTAAATCCGATCAGAATATTTCAAAGAACCTAGCTAAAGACAAATTCCTTTTCAAAATCAAATTTTTCAAACAACGAATGGCGCACGAGTTGAACTTATGCCAATATATTATTTAAATCACCTAAAGTTTTCTCGCTCGCGCTAGAAATTGAGCGATTTTTAGAACATTCCTTTTTTTATTGGTTTCGGAAGTATTTTATAAAACAATGGATTTTATTATATTGCATTACTTGAGATTTATGTGCGAGTACGAGTAGAACAAATTTAAACATATAGTTTTTACCTCGTGTGTGTTTTTTATGATTGTGTGATGGAGTTGGATTGATCAACAAATGATATCTTTTTTTTCCACAGGAGAAATACGCCGCATCCCGTATCGTATTATATGTGGGAGTTGAACATCACTAAAAACTCCTGCCGCTCACAGCCGGTGCTATACCCCGAACCGGGCGGGAACCCAGTCGGAGCTATTGAGACGGCGGGACAGGGCTTACGCAGAGCATATTACATCCATCCCGCCGTCCGCCACAGACGCCGGACCGGCGGCCGCCGGCGACACGACCACCGGTTCCCTAGGTCAGCGGGCCGAGAGCCCGGCTTGATGGCGCCGCGCTAAACCTTCCCCCGGAGCGGTCGGGGGAACGCGGTCTACCATCACCCGGCTTCCTACTGCGGGTGAGTGTGCAAAGCACGCTGCCCTACGTCTGGGTCGCTCCCCGCACAAAACGGGTGGGACCCCAAGCTCTTAGGGGGCCAGGTTACGGATACGACCCCAGTCCCGACCCCCTGCTCGGCGGCGGCGGGTTTCTGCGTAGTGAGGAGAGCTTTGCCTCACTCGCCTCGCCGCCTCCTTCTGCGAGATGGTGCACTCGCAGAAGTGGGGCATATTCAGGACTTCCAGGACTCATCGCCGCCAAGCATCGACGCCACGACGCCAGTCACGACAAGTCAGGTCCTATCTTTGCGATCAGGACACGGCGCTGCACCTCCCAAGCGGAGCAGACAGCGAGCGTATGTTTCGCCGTGTCCAGGTCGTGTCCACAATGGTGACACCTCGTCGTCGGCTCAGCCCCTATCCGGTGCAGGTCCTTCCCGAAGCATCCGTGCCCGGTCAGCACCTGCACCAGACGAAAGGTGAGACGTCCTTCGCCACGATTCACCCAGTCATCAAAAACCGGGTAAACCGCCTCGACGGTCCGTGGTCCCCACGTGGGTTGGCCAATCGCCTCGACATTCGATGATCTTAGGACAAAATTATGCGTATCACACAGAAACTTGAAACACTCTTTGAGATAAGCGAGCTACTTGTGGTAATGTCTGTTCGGGTGGGATTTTTGAAATAAATTTTAACCAACTTCCTCGTAAATTGTAATTTTGAGCATAACCTCGAAATCGGACCATAGAAAAACATTGAAAAAAATTTGGGAGAAAGAAAGAGAAAATAGTAAACAATTCACGTATTTTAACTTAAACGAATGAAAAACTTTAAAATAGTAAATGCTATTATTCCTTGAAGATAGTACGATTTGGGTAACTTTGTTAATTTAAAAATAAATCCGCAATTTAAATAAATGAGTAACGAAGTTAAATATATTTCCTTTATATTTCTCAAGGATACTGACATCAAAACAAATATTATCTGTTTACGCAAATACACCATAATTATAATATGAGAAAACATAAAAATGTATTTGCAATCTCATTAGGAACATGTTTGTATTTCTTTTTGTTCGATTTCTATAAAAAGATTCCTATCAGTAGATATTTATTAAGTTGTTTTCTACGTAATGATAAATCAGGTATTGAAACCTATACACAAATCAACATTTTTAATTATGTTATTAATTTTAATGTCATATTTTAATTAATATACAGTTAATACATTTAGTATTATATAATTAACCAGTTGTGTATTGTTTGATATACATATACTGATAAAAACAAGTATGGGGTGCGTTTATAACACCATAAATTTTTATGAATGTACTTTTTTCAATACAGCAAAAGCATTCGCAAAATGGCGCATGGCTTTGATTAAAAATCTGCCACATGTTATTATGAGAGTTCTCTCCTGATGTTAATCTAATACCACTTGAAAATTCTGAAGAAACCGAACCAATAATAGTCGAAGGATGCAAAGGCAGGTCTATTTGGTGGATATATTAAGATTTTCGTATCAATATTTGGCGAGTGGCTAAATAGACAGCATATTTGGCAGTACCATGATAAAAACAACACCTTTATTGTTAATCAATACAGTGTGATACGCTAGAGTGACGATGGCGCGCTGCGCCCCTCGACTCCTCCTCAAGTTACTCGATGATCTTCATCGGGGTGGAAGATGCCTTGTACAAGGACCTGAGCTGGACGAAGACACTGTTCTCCTGCCCCCGGCTCGGCGGCGACGGTTCGGTGCGGAAAGGGAAGAGCTCGCCTTCTTTTGTTCCGTCTTCCCTTTTTGTGTGATAGTATACTCGTAGAAGACGAATATCGCCTTATTTTTTATTTTTTTATTGCTTAGATGTGTGGACGAGCTCACAGCCCACCTGGTGTTAAGTGGTTACTGGAGCCCATAGACATCTACAACGTAAATGCGCCACCCACCTTGAGACATAAGTTCTAAGGTCTCAGGTAAGTAGTTACAACGGCTGCCCCACCTTTCAAACCGAAACGCATTACTGCTTCACGGCAGAAATAATCAGGGTGATGCTAACTACCCGCGCGGACTGTCAAGAGGTCCTACAATTATAAAGCTGGAAAAATTAATTTAGATTTTTTTGAAATTAAAGCCATCTAGCGTTTACGTGGCGCAGTGTGGGGAAATAAAATAATTTTAATACATTAATTAGTCAAACATACTGCGGAGAGTGACCTTCAGATCACCTTCAAGATCCCGCAGTACCTTTCTGTGTGGACGCTGCCGGAAGCGAGGTGCTCTGGCAAGGCGATCCAAGAAAGAGTACTTGACTACGGTAGACTAAGAACACACCTGCATTCACAGCCTTGCTCGGATCCAGTAACCCCAGTTGCTGGGAACCCTTTACCGTCTTTTTTAACTGAATCGGTGAAATCTCCATTGTTTCTTGTTATTTAATTTTAAATTAATTTTTTTGTATAACTTTCTCGTGTGTTCGGTATACCTACCAACACACCTGTAACATCGTACCTGACCACTAATTAGAACTTTGTAAACTATTATAATAATTTTAACCGTGTTATATGAGTAAAATAAACACAACATTGTTATTTTATAATTGTTTTTTTTTATTGGTGTGTCTCCCAGAGCGGTAAGTGGTGGCGCCCTGAGATCTTCCTCACAAAGTCTCCTGTTCACCGGTTGTCTACCGGTGGTGACGTGTCTACAAGTGGTGCGACTCGGCCCCGTGTCTCTCGACCCATAGACCACCTTTTGGGGAGTGACGCGACTGGGCCTCATGTAACATCAGCATACCATGGGGCACCCTTAGACACAGGCACGTTATACAACCAGTAAAGTTCTAGGTCTCTTCGCTGACGAGTATCTTAACTACGACGTTTGGCAGCGACAGGTCCAGTTTACGTACTCTAATATCGAACTTCTTTGTATATCCAGACTTTTTACACGGGTCATAGCTGTTTTCTGATTACCCCTTCGTCTTCAGTTATATCGTTACTACCAAAGGGCTAATGTTAGTCCACCTCTTCAAAAGTGACGTCGATTTTATCTGTATAAGCCTCGATTAAAACGAGCCCCAGGCTGAAAATTTTTGAGCTAAGTCTCTGCTAGTGACAACGCATTAAGTACATAAACGTCATAAAAAAAATTGCGATATATATGTATAGATAGCATTTTACCCTTTTTTTTCTAATTAAGCTTCAAAATGTATCCAATTACTTCAGTCTTTTTCGAACACAGAGAATAATAGGAAAATAGCGGGAGGCAATTTTCACTCATATTTCTACTGTTATTATTTGTTATCTCTTTAATGGTATCAAAATCAACCAGATACAAACAATACAACCGAAGAGTATTTACTTTAGCTTTGTAAATACTTATAAAATACAAAAAATATTTTTCTACGACGACAATTTCAATGCTTTTACTGTTATCTAATAATGAAATTTGTTTGTTTAATTCCTGCGTATTTAATGTCACTTTAACGAAACCTTCAATGTTGTTTCGAGCAACGTCTCAAGGAGGTACCGCCTAAATATAGAATCCTGAT